ATAGCAGCTCAGCTGGAGGATAGATGTCTAGCCTCCCTTTAAGCAAGCATGGTCTTCTAAGTCCTGCCAGGCAACAGGATTCTTAGTACAGAGGTGTCACTGCCACATATGGCCATCCCTTCTTCTATTACCCTTTCCCTATCTAGACATGACAACACAAGGGGCCTCCCTGGACACAAGGAGGATGGGGACCAGCTGAAGGAGAATCCAGGTCTGGATGGCTCATCTTAGGAGTACAGTATGGGGGGGGGGACAAAAACAAAACAAACAAAACCACCACCACCAATGATAACAATAAAATACCCATTGATAAGATTCTTCCAGTTAAGATGATGTCAAGTAATGGTGACAATTTCATTGCTGATTAAAGCATCAGAAATGTTGGGTTCTCTAGTCTTACTATACTGTGCTCATGTACATTATAAATTCTTACATATACTGACTGTCTCAGAATCAGAATGAGTATTGCTCTGGTAATGATGATTCTTTCTTACCCCACTTCTCCAGTAAGGCCCTAGAGGATCAGAGGTCTGCCAATAGCATAACTTATTGTCATTGGCATCATTAGGGTGGTGGTGTTTGTTGTTTGCTTTTAAGTTCATTTATTTGATGTGTGTGAATCTTTGCCAGCATGAATGTGTGTACCACATGTGTGTAGTGCCCACAGAGGTCAGAAGAGAACATCAGCTGTTACAGATGGTTGGTAGCCAAAATACAAGTGCTGTGGACTGAAGTCAGCACCTGACCAGTACAGATGCAGATACTCACAGCCAACCATCAGACTGAGCCCGAGGATGCCAATGGAAGAGCTAGGGAAAGGACTGAAGGAGCTGAAGGGGATTGCAGCCCCATAAGAAGAACAAGATCAACTAACTGGACTACCCAGAGTTCCATGAGACTAAACCACCAACCATGGCAGGATCTAGGACTCCAGATGCATATGTAGCAGAGGATGGTCGTATCTCACATCAGTGGGAGGGGAGGGAGGCTTGATGCCCCAGCATAGGGAGACACTAGAGGAGTGAGGCAGGAATGGGTCAGGTGAAGGAACACCCTCATAGAGGCAAAGGGGAAGGGGTGAAGAGGGATGGGATCGAGGGATGGTAGAGGGGTAATCAGGAAGGGGGATATCATTTGAAATTTAAATTAATAAAATGACTAATAAAAAAAGAGAGAGAGGAAGATACCTGAAATCATTCCCCAGCCTCTGTACATACAAGCAGGAGCAAGTGTATATAGACAGGTCCATGCAGACACCCACCCACATACACACAATTCACAACTTAAAGTTGAAAAACAAGTGCAGTGGCTGGAGAGATGGTTTAGCAATTCAGAACACTGACTGTTCTTCCAGAGGACCCTGGCTCAATTCCCAGCACCCACACGGCTGCTCATAACTCCACTTCCAGGGGTTCTTGCTCCTTATGGCCTTTGAGGATTCCAGATACACATGTGGTACACAGACATACATGAACGCTAAATACCCATATAGATTAAGTAAGTAAATAAATAAATAAACAAACAAACAAACAAACAAAGCAACCATAAGCCCTTTGCTTCTTCCTATTTCCTTCAAGGTACAGGGTGTCTTCTTGTAGACAGCAAAGAGACACTTAGAGATCTCTATCTTTGATATCACACCTGTAAATTCTTTTACAGGCAAATACCATACAGGTTTTCTACCAAAAGTTCCTAGAGTGAGATCAACAAGCTGGCACACTGAAGGCAGGTGGAGTCACAGCCCCCAGGGCCCAGAATCTTTACTTGACAAATAACAGATGTCTCTCCACTGAGTCCAAACGGACGGTCTAGGGTGAGTGTCCTCCCTGCCACGCATGGCAGTTCTGATTACCGCCTGAACTCACCGCTCTGCCCAAGCCTGGCTGGCTGGGTAGAACCCAGGAAGGCTGCCAAAATTGAAACCAGGCATCACTTTACAAATCAGACACCACATTCATACTAGTGTTTGTTTTATTGTCATAGACTGTTTTGATAGACTTTATAAATTGCGGTTGGTAGAGCTGGACCAGTAGGAGGGTTTTCAGAGTTCTGTGCTAAAGGGGAAATAAAGCCAAGAAAACCCAGCCACAAACAAAAAAATAAAATAAAATAAAAAGGAGGGAAAAACAAGATTACTTGTCTGACCACAATGAGCTGGGTAAACATCACTTTCTGCACGCCTCTAATGTGATATTACACTCATGTCTGGTATGTGTCAAAGTTGCATGGGCTCATCTCTCAATACCGACTGTATCTACACCTGAATTGTTCTCTGGGCTCACTCAGTCTCTCTTAGAACTAAAGTTAAGATGTCAGCCTTCTTCAGAATGCTTACCACACCCTTCCTATTTTTAGCATTGCCAAGACAAATTAGAAATCTGATTACTGTGGCAAATTACGCGGATGTCACATTAACCAATGGTTTTCATCAAAGGTTAATACATTTGGCAAACCGTTCATTTGACTAGGATAAAAGAGTACATTCTTGGGTATAAGGAAAAGGTCTGGCAAGGTGCCTCCGTCCACAGTTGCACCCTATGGATGTTGGTTAACTGTAATGTAAGGTCTGGGTAACATTCATCTCCTTCCTAAAGATCAGGCCTAGGAAGAAATGGAATCTTCCACCTCTAGCACACACTGGCGTATTACAATAATGTGTATATTATACCAATATATATTGGCTTATTGTAATTAGTCACTGGGCTTTTAAAAGGATTTTATAAATTGCTAACTTTTTTAATGTAAACTCCTACAGCATAGCAAAAACAAGTACAAAATTAATTAAATACAGCCCAATTCCTCTTGAGAACCATAATTATCTGTTAATATTAAAAGCTGCCCTCTCTCTCTCTCTCTCTCTCTCTCTCTCTCTCCTCTCCCCCTTCTCTCTCTCCTCCCTCTCTCCCTGTCCCTCTTCCCTCCTTCCCCACCTCTCTTCCTCTCAAAAGGCAGTGTTTCATTATGTAGCTCATGCTAATCTCAAATTCACAATCCCTCTGCCTTAGTTTGGGATTACAGACATGAGCCACACCTGGTAACCTTGTGCTTTTAATACAAGCCATTGATTCTTGTCTGGTCTTGGTCCTAGTTTGCCAGTTTCTGAATCTGAACCCAGAGCCTCACCCTCAATAAATACACATTCCACTACTGAGGTTTACCCCCAGACCAAGAAAGGCCATAACTTTTTAAAAACTGGTAAAATTATTTTTCTCCTAATCCTAGCTGTGTTCACTTATTTAAAATAATTATATACTGTATTAAATTATATATATATATATATATATATATATATATATATATATATATATTACACAGGCAGATAAACAGCTTCCACAAGCAACATGCCTTCTTGTACTTGCTATGATAACATCTACTTTACTGATTCTACGACACTCGGTTTTAGTGAATCATCTCTGAAATTAAGATGCAAGTAGACTCTGTGATAATCACCTTGACATTTTTAGTCTGTATGTTGTCTTGGTGACAAGACACAATGAAGTAAGCTGAAAAGCTGTGATATATTAAATCTAATAAAATACAACAGTAATTCGAAATGTTATATTTACTTTAAAAGTATTACACCTTAGTCTTTCTACCTGTACTGTTAGCTGACATACTTTTAGAACTATGGTATCCCTCTGAAGAGCTAAGCCAAAATGGATTGTACCAGTTATATCTGAACAAATTTAAGGCTTAATAGCTTTGAGAAGGCCAGAGTTTACTCTGAGAGGACGAGGCAACGCAAGGAGTAGCCATCTGGAAGCTGAGAGGGAGAGCGCATGAGGGTTCACAGACAGACACTCACTCGGCACTGAGCACTGGACTCCTACAGAGTTTTTGGTGGAGTCAGTAAGTACATTAGTTCTGGGGCAGCAGAATTCCCAGGAGACTCGGGAAACCCTGACAGGCAAGTATGTTCCTCTCAGCTGTAGCTGTTGACGAGTCTTCTCCATTTCCATCTCTCTTGTTGCCCAGCTCTCACAGAAAATAAGAAAGGAGACACCCAATTTCCACCTCACCCATCACTACATCTCCTGCTCTGGATGCCTCCCTCTCATCACATGTTGGGAATTGTTTCTAATGCTTTGTCTTATTTCGGCTCCCAAAAGCTGCACTTCCAGACCTGCGGGTCCCTGCACTCAGCTGGCTTCAATTGATAACAAAGAACTATTACCAATGGCTGGGCAGGGAGATGGGGCAAGACTTTTAGATTGTCTGGGCAAGGGACCAAGTTGTGGGGGTGGACAGAGAATGGCCATGATGGGGAAGCAGAAAGATGAAACTTAAAGGCCCACCAGCATGTAAGAATCTGGGAATCCCTAGGGGCCACTTCTCTAATAGGGTCTGGGGTAGCAGAGATGAAATACAGATACTAAAAGATGTTACCTCAGGAATGATAGAGGGGAGTGTTTGCAGGTCGTGGAGAGGTTTAGAAGTCCTCAGCCACTGAGCTAGTCAAGGCATAGCAAAAGTAGCTGGTGTGTGTGTGTGTGTGTGTGTGTGTGTGTGTGTCTTTCATTCATGAATCCAGTGAGCTTTTGGGCGGGTGCAGTGTAAGCATGACCCCCCTCCTCCCATAGGAGCCAAAGTGGTTTAATAAATTCACACTACACCACACCTGACAGCAAGAGGCCAATTACACTACCCGGCTCCTTATGGGAGCCCAGGCCACCAGTGTAAGACAGGGGATCCTACAGGAGCCAATGGGCAAAGAGCTACCATAAAATCCTGGGAACCTAGAACATGGTTTTTAGATCAAGGATTCAAACTAACAACATGATCGCCTACTAACTGTAGTCACTCAGCTTCTCCTTCCAGATATGCTATCAAATCCCTCCTCTTAAAAACAAGGAGAGAAATCGGCCACCACCAGCTTTGAAAGAATTCTCCTTAAGACAGCCTCATCAGCTCTTTTACAAATTAGTAAAGGAACAGAGTTAACAGCACTTCAGGAGCCTTAACCTTCAGTTACCGACTTTATGACGTCAGTGTGGACTTACCTTTTGCATGGCCCCTTGAAAGGCTTCTTTAAGTCTCCTGCATGAATCTGGTAGTGCTTCTGTGTCTTCACTCTCCAGAGTCGAGTCCTGCATACCTGGGTTTTTGTGGAGTCTCAGAATTCTATAAAAGCAGTGAGTGCTGTCTTCTGATATTCTGTTAGGATCCATCTAAGGGAGGGAACGGATAGCAAAGGGGTTATGGTTAATGAAGTGTGACTTGATAACAAAAGGGTTGTGCTTAGAGTTTTCAATTCCCCAGTGATTGGTAATTAATAAAATTATCCTCAAGCCAGCCATGGTGGTACACACCTTTAATCCCACCATACAGAAGGCAGAAGCAGGCCAGTCTCTGTGAGTGAGAAGCCAGCCTGGTCTACAAAATGAGTTCTAGGACAGCCAGAGAGGTTATACAAAGAAACATTGTCTTAAAAAAACATACATTTATTTTTTATATTTACACATATATGTGTACACACACACACATATAATTTTATTTTAATATATATTAAAACATCTTTTTGGTGTGCATGTATATGCATACATGTGTGAATGGGTCTGAGCACCTGTACATGCATAAGTGATTCACAGGAGTGTGTCCCACACTCAACTTTAATTTTTTGACATGGGGTATTTCATTGAACATGGAGCTCACCTATTGGCCAGACTGGCAGCCAGCAAGACCTCAGAATCGTCCTGTCTCCATTTCCCATGGCAAGGATTTGAGTAGCAAGAACTTTATCGATGGACCAGTATCCCCTGCACTGGCCACACTGACTTCTAAATCATTTTGATGAGTAGCTGACAATCACCCCCAATACACGATGCCATGGATTCTTAACAACAAAAATGTATGTGTGTAATTTACAGGGAATGAACTTCTCCGTGGACAGAATCACAGATATCATATGTGATCCCAGCAGGCAGGGGAACACTCCTTAAGCTAGATTGGTGGTTCATAGATAAAATCTACTGGAGAAGCCAAAGCAGAAGGATCAGGGTTTGAAGACAGCCTGGGCTACATAGTGATTTCCAGGCCAGCCTTGGCTACAGTGTAAGACCCTGTCTCATAAACAAGAATAAGACACGTGCAACATAGTAGAGGAAACCACATGGAGATAAAACCCACTCGAAGAACCAAAGCATGACGCCTGTATAAATCAGACAAAATTAGCATAATCTTTAGCTACTGTTTCCATTGACTTTCTTCCTTAGTCTATGAGTATTTTGATGAGTGAAAGAAGGGAGTGAGAAACCCATCTGTGCCTCAACAAAACCCGAAGCCACGAGTAATTTCTCTTTCTGATGAGTACTATGTAACTTCTCTTTCTCATGAGTACTATGTAACTTCTCTTTC